AGGAGTGTGGGCGACACGAGGGAGAGATAGTGCGCATGAGAGAGAGAGAGAGAGAGAGAGTGAGAGAGCGCGTGACAGTGTGTATGAGTCTGGGAGAGCGCGCGCGAGAGGCAGAGAGGGAGATTAGAGAGATAGGTTAGATAGAGAGATAGCTTAGATAGAGAGCAAATATGCAAATTATAAATGTTATTCAAGTTGTATTTTGTAAATAAATATTATATTTTAAACGAATTTCAATGTTTTACAATTTATATAGCAATCAAAAGTTTATATATAAAACTACCTAATTCTTGATTTTTCTTTCTATCGTCTATGCTGCACTAACACAAAATTCATAGCTAGGCAAAACTCGAAAACGTCAACACTTCATACCATCCCCGTCGTTCCCTTTGCCTCCATTGTCCTTCACTCAGCCCCCTTCTTCTTCCACCGCTCCTCAGCTATCTCCTCTCCAGTTTTTCTCAGTCTCCCACCCCCTCTTTCTCTCTCTCTGATCTCACAAAGCAATAATAACCTGTTGTATTCAGTCCGTACTGCACGCCTGAAACAGTGATCGCACATGCGCAATATCTCCCGAGAACAAGAATATTTTGCGAAAGTTAGGCATTTAAAATTAAGAGGAGGAATTCTAGCATAGATTATGTGGTAACATTCCATCAGTTTACCTCATTTAAGATATAGGAAGAAGGCCTTGCATGTAAGGTCTTGCGCATATATCGCGCAATATCTCACCAGAGAAGTTATATTATGTAATGAATATGAATTTAATATGGTGATGGGGAAATCTCCTCATATAGATTTATGTAATAAATTGTTATCAGTAGACCTGTGTTCATAATAGGGAGAGCGCCCTAGCCTGTAGGGTACACAACTCCTACTTCATCCCCTGCCGTCTCTCCCCTTGCCTCCCTTGTCCCTCGCTCAGCCTCCTTCTTCTGCTACCGCACTCAGCTATCTTCCCTGTCGCTGTCTCCCACCCCTCTCTCTCACAGCAAGCTTTCTTCAGTCCGTACTGCACGCCTGAAACGGTGCTCGCGCATACGTAATATCTCCCGAGACGAAGAACATTTTGCTAAAATTAGGCATTTAAAATGAAGAGGAGTTATCCTAGCATAGATCGACCGTAGTCAACTGAGAGCATGTTGTGATGCCGTGGCGTCAGTGAAGCAGTGAACAAACAAGAACACTAAAACTGTCGAAATGACACGCGAAAGCTTGTTTTATTTGTTGAATTGCACCTAAAGACAGTCACATGGCATAACCTTAGCTACATAATTGTTAATAAATTACTTCTTCCATAGTTAGGTAATGTTACCATCCTTCCGTATATATACTCTAACTCGCAGTAATGGGTATATTTACTATCAATAATGAAATAATCAGCGCAACTAAAGGTTGAGTTTTTTGCATTGAAGCGTTTTCATTGTTGGCATTAACGATTGCACTACGAATTTCATTACTCTTTTTTAGATAGTTCGACTTGGTTTTGCCAGTCTGGCCAGGGTAGTTACAATTGCAAGCGGGCGGGTCGCAGCACGTTACAAGTGCATCAGACATGGGCTTAGCCAACTCCGATGCTCTCTTATTTATCCCCGTAAGTGTTTGCGAGTGAGCCGCCACTAGGCGGCGTACGTTTCTGAGCACGTCTTCGTAGTTGTGGGCGGGTAGCGAAAACTTTTCGCCTGGATCATTCTCAATATTGTAAATCAATGGTGGTATGTGTGCAGTCACGCATGGCGAGTCGCAATCCTTGCAAGTAAACACCAATGCTTTCTGAGGGACACCGTTTACGCAGTTTGTCTCGTTCGTGTAATACTCTGTTTGAATAACCGCCTGGGTGTAAAAGTGTATCTTGAAGTCGCCGTAGCGTACTGCCATGATCCTCTCGTCGCAGTAGAAGTACAATATATCATGAATCTTTGCTGTGTGCTCTCCGAGTAGCACCCTATGGAAACTTTTTCCTGCAAATAAACATCAGCTAACGATCACTTTCGTGACATGTTTCTTGCATACTCAAGTAGAATCCAGATAAAAGCGGTCTAAATAGGAATGCCATAGGCAGTCTACCTATAATTAGGAGCGATTCATGTACGACAAGTTAGCACGCACGCACGCGCACACAGACAAACGCACGCACGCGCACACAGACAAACGCACGCACGCGCACACAGACAAACGCACGCACGTGCACGCACATAGGCACACCACACACGCGTACACGCACGTACATACGCGCTGCTCCTGCTGGGCCGGCTGAATTCTCACGTTTGCATGCCCGTAAAACAGTCCGGCATTTATCGTGTCGCCCTTCGACACGAAATATAACAAATATTTTTAACCAAATTACAATAATTTTCTCAACAATTCAGTCAGCCAATGCACCACGCCGTCGGCACAGCACCGAACGCCAAGGAAACGGTATTGTCTAAGGGACATGAACTTCACGCCAATGCTCCAGCACTATTCTCAGATCCCGAAACTCGCTTAAGATTTTCTTGCCACCGGTTGTGCACTTGTTTGCTGCAGGCTGCATAGAACCGCAATTAGTCATTCCGCCGCTACGTAACCTATGTGATTTGTTTGTTCGCCAATGGCATATACACACCCTGCAATAGACTAGCTCGATCGCCGTGAGCAGATCGCGCATACAAGTAGCTAGAAGTAGTGAATCGAAGTCCTTCGCTGCGCCATGTCGGTCCAGTCGCAACCCCAATTACTGGACTCGCGTGTCCATACACGGACAAGGTCGCCCCAGCCGGAATCATCGGACTAAATATCACAACGTGCTTGGGCTTCGCCTATATGGCGGTGCCAACGCGTAAAAATATCTATTTGAGCACATTATATTAGCGCTATAAATTCATTATTTACAAATAATGCCTTTATATAATAAAATAATATATTATAATAATAAAATACATTATTTAAACCATATCAAATATATTTATATAAAGAAATAATACTTATTTAACATATAATGCTATTATATAATTAAATAATACATTATATTAACATATAATATATTAATATAATTATATAATGCATTATTATAGCATAATAATATATCTATATAATCATATATAATGCCATTATTTAGAATATATATATTATTACATTATATACTTATATAATATATTAATAATTTATAAATATATAATATATTATATAATTATATAATAACTATATAATTATATAATACATAATAATAATATATAATATATTATATAATTATATATATTAATATAAGTAGAGAATATATAATTCAATAATACTATAATGATATTATATAATTATATAATGCTATTATATAATCCTATAATAAGATAATATAATTATATAACTATATTATATCATTAATATAATATATTATATAATTTATAACTATATTATATAATGTATATAATATATTACTATGCTAAATCAATGCCATCTATATAATTACTAAATATTTGTTACGATTCGGCACCTGCGTCTTAGTAGGCTCGCGGTCGCGCGCCCTTGCCCCCAGCAAAAAAAAACAACGTGAACATCCGAACATAACAAGCCGTTGAATTTCGAAAAAAATGGGATTCCGCAGCCATGTTTAACTTAACTGCCAAGCATCTGTACCAGCCCTATATCACAAACAAGCAGAAATAACTCAACTTTTGAACAAGCGCCAGCCGGTAAGTTTAGTTACCTCTTATGTTAGTTTTTCTGAAATTGTCAGGTTAATAACATAGCACTAATTCCAATCTGACTGTGTCTATTGACTGACTTTTTTTGGCCTGCCGTTTGTCACGGTAAGGGGCCCCACCCGAGGTCATACAATCGC